TAAATAAATAAATAAATAAATAAATAAATAAATATTTTTTTAAAAAGAGAAACTAGTAGTATAAATGGAATGAATTGGCTGAATTAGCATATATATTAAAATATTTTGATGTGGCAGAATGGAGAGTTTAGGGAATTAAAATGTATGCTTTTAAAGTAAAAGACACTTCTGCGTACCAGGTGTTTCTGAGCAGGGCCCGAGGGATTTTGGATTTCACTGTTCCCGTGGTGTGCTGATGCTGCACACCCTGGAATCCACAGGAATCCCACTGTGGCCTCAGCAGAGCCCCCTCGGAGATCCAGCTTTCCTCCAAGTCTTGCAGGGCACTGCTGCTCGGCACAGCCTGTGGAAGCCAGGCTGACGGGTGTTCTTGGTGTGCTTTCAGAGACTGTCCCAAGAGCCGGGCGCGGACAGTGCTGGCGGCCCCTTCTCCCCCTGAGCGTCTCTTCCATCTCCTGTTAGCTTGGGTGAATCAGCATCTAGGGAACTAACAGGCAGCCACATGAGCCTCGGAAAGCAGGTGGCTAAAGGTCCTAGGAATGCACACCCGGCTGAGGAGAAGAGAAATTTGAGACTCTTGGAGCCTGCACGCACTTCTGCAGCCTGGGCTGAAGCGTTCATTTGATATGTGTGACAATTTTTTGGAAAGCCATGAGCTAGATTCTGGTCTTTCTCTGTCAGTTTTCTTTTTTTATTGAACTCTTATTTCAGAACCTCTTCTGTTTAGGATCCCTTTGCTTCTGTCCTAATGGGAACATTTAAACAGGAACAGAAATTCATAGAAATGTCATTAGTCCTACTTTTTAATTTTTTTAATGGCAAAGTTGAAACCCAGGGCCTCATACACTTTACCGCTGAATTACATCTGCAGCGCCCCACTTTTAATGATGAATCTTTTTTAGGATACAAAATGCTTAAGCTATTATTAATTTATTACTTCTCTGGATATCTTGTCTTCCACACTGTTCCTTCAGCACACTGGGAGCACACAGCTCTGTCTTGGGCCTGTCATGTGCTGTTTCCTCAGCCTGGAGCCCTTGCCTTCGTGTTTCCAGCAGATGGCTCCCCCCACATGGTTTGGATCTTTGTTAATAACACCTTCCTTCTGATAACTTAACAAGGATAGTAACCCCTTTCTAGGAATCCCTTTTTTGCTAATAGAATTTAAAATTATACCCATTTCCTTTCCCTCTACTTCTATCCCTTTCTGAACTGTTTTCTGTTACTCTTAGAAGCATATATTTACTTATTTTCTTAGCAATGAACATCTTCCATTAGGGTGTGATTCACTAAGGAAAAACATTTTGTGTCCTGATCCCACTACTGTATTCCTGCCTTTAAAACACGGATACAAAATCAGTTTTAAAGTTTTTTTCCCTTTCTTTCTGTATTTTAGGGAAGGATCTACAGGGTGTTTAGGGTCTCATTACTAGATCAGACTCGTAGTGATTCTTCTGTTTACAGCCTCCGAAGTGCTGGGATTACAGGCCCGCACCACCATGCCCAGTCTCAATCACTGTCTCAGTGTGCCCCGGGGGCGGGGCCTGCACGGCAGCCCCGAACGAACCTCGGGCCCCCACACTTTCCTGCAGGCACTTTAATCCAGTGAGCTATTTGGCCTGCCCCAAGCTCAGTAGTTTAAACACAGATAATAAATTTTTATTTTAAACATTTATTGTTATTATTCAATAATATT